ATAAGAAGCTAAATCAAGTTTCAACCAATCACAGACAGCCAAGTGATCAGAACATACCCAAATAAGGCACATGTCTAGCTGTAGCCAAGGAGCTGACTTCTCTTCTGGGTTTCTATGCTCACCTTACAAAAGCTCACTGTTCACACTGCTGGATGAAGTTCTCCAGAGTTCTTTTGGTTTTGGTTACTGCACAATTCATGAATCATTTTTGTTCAAATAAATTCTGGTATGTTCAATATTTTTAAATTTTTCTTTTAATACTTTACTAATGATGGTCTCTGCTTATAATCACTTCTTTCATTTTTTCCCTACTGAAGTTCTCTTTAGATATGAATGCTTGCCTCAAATAGTAATAACCTTAGGATCCCCAGTTTCTTACTAAAAATTTAGTATTTTAATTTTCTTCTCCCATGGCCTTAAAAAATATTTTTCTAATATTTATTATAACTTCACTAGTTAGCATGTCAATCTCCCTATCTCTCTCACAATATTACAAGTTCTCTATTACACAGACATTATTTCTTTCCCTCTCATTTAGTATAGAGACAAACACAAAGTTGATTCATTATGAGCTTCTTAAATGAAATAATATCCAGTCTCTCTTAATGCAAATAATGTTTTTAAAATGAAATATTAAATATAATTTTCTGTAAGACTTTAAGTATAATTCAAATAGAACATATAATTTTATGATATTTTCAAATATTGAATATATAAACACTTAAATATTACAAATATTGAAAGAAGTATATTTATTTTTTTTTATTTTTACTTTTTTTGTGTGGCTGGCTCAGCCAACCCTGGGGGTGGGGCTCACCCAGCATGTTGTGCTGGGCATTGAACTGCGGTCCCTGCACACTTGGCTAAGCAGGCGCTTTAGACCACCGAACTATCTCGCCAGCCCCAGAAGTAGTATATTTTTTGAAACTTATTTCCATTAACTAATTCTAAGCTATTCTAATTTTTAAATATTTAACTGAAAATAGACTACTAACCCTTAACAGTGGATGTATCAAGAAAAGAATGATTAACTCTACAACACCCTTACAATAGAGTAAGTCCATGACTTACGAGCATTCACAGACACAAATGGACCTTGCATTAGGAATAGTCATAGATGTAAACAAATCACTGAAGTAGCTCACATATCTGTCAGATATTGTCATAGGTGTGCTCCTATGTGCTTACTGCACAGTGCAATAGTATATAGTATTTTTATGTGTGTTTGGTTTTGTTATGCTTTACACCATATATCTGTGTCAAGGATGTATGAGACTCACTTTCTTGTATATTTGTACAAAACTAAATTATGAATGTTGTCCTTAAATAGAACTTATTTCTAAATTGGGGACTTGTCTAGAGGGGTATTCAAAGGTTTTGGAGCACTCAATCTAAGAGTTTTGAAAATAGATCTTAGAAAAAAAATGGGTGTGCTACTCATTCCAAAATGTAGCTGAATGAGCTGCACTGAGCAGCACAGTAGAGAACAAAGCAGTGCCCTAGAACCGAAAAAGTCAAGGCAGTGAAGTTAACTTTGCTGGAGCCAAGAGCCTTCAGTTGTTTTCTTTCTAAGCCTGCCAACTGCTGACCAAATTATGCATCTAGGTATTGTCAGTGACAAGGAACTTCAGCTATTACAGGAAGATCAATCAATAGTGTTATCTAAAAATGACAGACTTTTATCATTAAATTTTGTTTTGGCTATTCTATGAATGTCTCAAGTATTTTACAATGCTTATGAAATCTCCTAAATGTCCCTTTGGACATAATCTTCGTAAAAAAAATGGCACCAATAGGTACCTATACCATGATTTTGTACTTAATCATTCAAAATAAGCAAAGTAAGACTAATATCAGAAGAGTTTGGGGAACTGAAGTTAAGAGGAATAGGAATGTAGCATTCACAGCAGTGAGTACATGAGGGCTTTTGGTTTTATTTAGATTTAATTAGGTTTTGCCAATTAAAATTGCATCTGTTGTAATGGATTAACTCTACCAAGTGGTAAAAGAAACTGAATTAATAGTTTTATAAAGTGTCAATAACTAAAATAAAACAAAAGAAAATGAAACTAACAAAATACATGGAAAAAGCATCAAGTAAATACACGGGGAAAATGAATCAATATTTATTATGTGCCCGCTACACACCAAGCACTGTGCTATGTGCTTTAAATAGATAACCTTTCAGCACTACTAAGCGATTTTAGCCAAAAATGTAGTCACTGCCACGACAAGTATCATAACAACAATGTATAAGTATGTAATTCTGAGGGCCGACCAAATAGCTCAGCGGATTAAAGAACCAGCAAGCAGGTTCATGGGCAAGGGATTCGATCCCTGGGCATGTTGTGCAGGCCCTGCCCTCCGGGCACACTGAGAGGGTGATTGGGACTAGGTAAGGTGGTTTGCGCCTGTAATCCCAGCTCTTGGGAGGCTGTAAACAGGCGGATCATTGAGTCTGATCTAGTACTGAGACCCTGAACACTCTGTAGACCTTTCCCTAAAATAAAAAAGTAACTATTTCCTCTATTATTTTCAACTATACAACACTACCATTAGCAATGTTATGTGAAAATTAGCTTTATATTTACCTATGTATCTCTAATATGTTTCATTTGTAAAATAAAGAGGCTATACTTATATTTTGTATGTCCAGTCTGACCAAAATGCTATAAAATCTTCTTCTTGTAGTACTCAATTCAATATATCAGAAAGCAAAAAGGGCAGAAGTTCAATAGATAATGTGCCATGAACTGAAGGAAGAAGCTCACAGAAAAAAGAAGATAAACACTGACTATGGGTAGAAGAAAACTCTGCTCAACCTCACTCCTAATGTAAACAGTTAATATGCTACCAATTTTTCAAAATTTTCACCTTTAATAGGTAGAGGATGTGGAGAACGAGATGCAGGTTGAATACCCCCTACCCCAAATGCTTTGCATTTGTGTTTCAACTTATCCCTCCTTCATTGTTGGTGGGAGTGTAAACGGATATAGTCACTATGGAAATCAGTACGGAGATTCCTCAAATAAAACTAAAAGTAGTAATTCCATTTGACCTAATCATTCCACTTCTAGTTTTCCTCTTGAAAGAGCTAAGGGCATAATGCCACAGTGATATATGTTTATCCATGTTTATATCAGCACAATTCATGATAGCAAAATCTTGGAAGCAAATTATATGTCCATTAAGGATAAACAAGACTAGAAAGTTTGTAGCAAAACAGATGCACCTTGAGACCATAATATTAAATGAAGGATATCAGACACAACAGTTTAAATAGTGCACAGTTTATGTTATATGAATAATCCAACAGATATATTAAGAGAAAAATAAATATAATACAAAAATGGACAAAGCAGTTACTGTAATCCATCATGGACAAAGTTTCTAAAATGTAACTATATGTCAAAGATTTTAAATCTGGAAAATAAAACACAAAGTACAACACAAAATTCAATCTCATGTGGAATAAACTAAATATATTTATAGGAATATATATATATATATATATATATATATTTATATATGTATGTATTAAAGACAAAAAAGATACATACCGTATGTTTCTAGAGGTATAGAATATTCCTCAGAGACAATGTGAGAAATCATTATCTTTTTCTGTGGAAGACGTTAAGTCTAAGACTGAAAGGAAACTCAGTCTTTTCTTTTTTTTTTTTTTTTTACTATTATCATACTTTTTAAAAAATATTATTTCATGAATCCATTACTGTAAAAAGGAATATATTGCTATAAAATTTGTCAATTTTTAAAAGTGATTACAATAAATAGTAATCTCTGGATCACTAAAGAACCATTTCACTATGAAGTTTACTAAATTAAAAAAAGTCAATGGCAAGATAGCTCAGTGGACTAAAGCACCTGCTTAGGTAAGTGCAGGGACCGCGGCTCGATCCCCAGCACCACATGCCACACCAGCCCCACTCCTAGGGCAGGCTGAGCTAGCTACAAAAAAAGAAGAAATAAATACAAATGACAAAAAATAGAAAAGTCAAAATTCTTGAAACTAGTATAATCACCCCAGACTTCTTTTTGTGTTACCCGCAGTCTATGAGGAACAATAGAGCACAAATACTTTCAGTGCACAAAATATGATAAAAAGTTACAAAAACAATATTTTCATCTCTCTCTCATGGCCTCCCCTCTCCATTTTCCAAAACAGACGTTCTAGGGAATATTGTAACAGAGCAAAACCATGGCAAAAGTAATAATTCCAAGTGTGTGATAATAGGAAATATTTCCATTGCATAATTATAATGACTGATTTAAACAGAAAAAAATCCATGCTTAATACAGCAATCACTTCTGCAACTACTACGAAAACACACACACACACACACACACACACACATATATATATGTTGAAATATAGTACTAAAAATACATGAAGCACAATGGTTAATTATGAGATTGAATTTTACCTAAATAGTACCAAAATTACAAATAAGACACCTAAGAAAGTATGGATCTAAACATAAACATGTTATTCTAATATAAAATGAGTATACATAATTTTAGGTATTAAATTTTGATATTAACTCAAGAAAACATACTCATCATTAAAACTACGAAATCGTACAGACAGAAATAAATAAGTAATACAAATGTAGGGGGAAACACTATGTAGTTCCAATGGCACTGATTTTACTACAATTTTGTGAAAACTTTGGAGTCATTAGAACTGTTATGTCATTTTCTCTTATATGTTGAGTCAGAAAGCTTATGTTCTCTGCTCTTCAGTGAAAAATTAAAATTTCATAATTTATATGCAGTATACATATTAAGCAATGAAAGAAAATCTATTTTAAGAAGAACAATAACACTTATACAAAAAGTTAATATGTTAATCTATGTATGTTTGATCCTATCTACTAAGCAGAACTTTATATACACAAATCACTCATTTTTTATTCAAACATTAAATTCCAAAACATCAAAATCAGGAACCTATATTTTTTAAAAAATAAGATAAAATGTACCTTTCATCTGGGTAGCAAAATTCAGTGTCAGTTTTGCAAAGAGATCTGGATTCTCAAACTTTTCTTCTTTCACTTTTAACCAGAAACAGTTCTCAGACAATTCCTTTGGTTCAATCTAAAACAAAAATAAAAAAGACGAGCTTCTAAATCATTACTTCATATTTAATTTTTGAAAGAATTCACTTCCAGAGAGCATAAATTACAATTCTTTTATTTATCTATCCACTAAATAAATTTTAGGATCTTTCACAGTAGCAGCATTAAAGCAAATATTCAGTGGAAAACCCTCAGAATTCTGTTGGTATTGGAGAAAAGGTCAACAATAGCAATAGGCCATATAGTAAATTACATTTAAAATTTTTTCTAATGAAAATAACCTTAAAATATCATACTAAATTCCTCTTGATGTCACATACATTTTTTTACTCCTCTGTTTTTAAAAAGAGGGAATCTGAGGCACAGAAAATTGAATTTCTTGTTCTCTGATTACACTGAAGGCAACAAACATAATAATACGTCATAATGCATACTTCCTACTATGCATTAGGTAGTGTTTAAGTGATTTGCATATATTACCTCATCTAATCCTCACTATAATCCTTTAATGCTGAACCTGTTATCATGTCTTCATTAAACACAAGGTAACTGAGCACTATACCTTTTAAGTATTTGCCCAACTGAGTAAATGGCAAGGTCAAACATAAATCCAGTGTAGCTCAGAGAATTGTCTTCTTAAATATTACACTTAATTCCAACATGTGAGTTTGCATTTTTTAAATCATTTATTTAGTTAGTTAGTTAATCATTATTTATTTATGTGGTACAGGGTCTCGCTATGCAGGCTGAACTCATAGTGATCCTCCTGTCTCAGCCTCCCCAACATTGGAATTACAGGTGTGCAGGCACTTGGACCACTGAGCTATCTTCCCTAGAGTGAATTTGAATTTGGAGCATATATTTTGGTGATATGTAAGTGTTACTGCACAAATATTATTTTGCAGTAACAAAATTATTATCAAATTAATTATAATTTTATTAATATGACTGATAATAATTTCGTTATTGATAATTTTATTATCAATATTAAAATTATTGTTTATCAGTAATATTTGATATTACTGATAAAATATCAAACATGTTTACACACATTCATAACTGTTCCAATATTTTGATGGACTATGGTCTAATTAAAAATACCTATGCTATTGGTCTTGGAATGTAGCTCTATTTTAAAGCACTGGACTTATTTCATGAGGCACTAAGTATAATCCCCAGCACTAAAACAAACAAACAAGAAGCCCTGCTAAAATCATGTGTACCTGATTTATTCATGAGCACAGCACAGGTATATACTTAATTTTTAAAAAAGGTTTTTATTAAACCAACTTATTAAGCAGAACCAATGTGACATGACTCTTGAATTCTTCAGTATGGGTAACTTTTCAGTAGAAGATAAATTTGCAAGAATAAAATTCTTTGAATTTAACTTAAATTCTTAAGTTAAATTCTTTTAATTTTTTAAAGCAAAATATTTGATGACAATAAAAATAAGGTATGATAACATGTAAAAGAAATCACTTTCATTCATCATATTTAAAAAAATATCAGACTACATTATTTGTGATACAATCAGGTACTCTTAATTACTATATGAAAGTATCAAAAGGAACAAAACATCCTAAGAGCAAAAATAGTAATATAACCAGGCTCAGTAATAAGTATATTTAAGAGAGTTAAAGTGTTCAACAATGATAGAAGAATCAAAATTGGTTTTTGTCTCTTGATAAAATTCAAACACTACTTTGTAGGCCACTTCGATATTGTTTTTGCCAGCCTCATAATTTCACACTATCTAGCGCCTTTCCAGTTCTCTAGATAGTTAACTGAAATACAGATTAAGGGTGAACTTGCAAAAGAAAGCAGTACACTCAGCAGTCCTCATTTCAAACATGTACTATTCGTAGAACAAAGTCAGAAAGCTGTAGCTGTAGTATTACCTTGGACCAGTTGATTCTCTTCATGGACACTTCAGGTTTATATAGTTTTTTCTGCTTCATTCCATAGGGAAGATCAGGCGGTGCTCCTGGGGGTAAAGGAACTCCTCCAAGGGGCGGTGGTAAAGGAGGCCCCCCAGACAAAGGTGGTGGGGGTGGGGGTGGCGGTACTGGTCCTGCTCCATGTAATGGAGGTGGTGGAGGTGGAGGAACTCCAGGCAGGGGAGGTGGTGGCGGAGGTGGTGGCGGAGGTGGCCCAACACCTGGCATCGAAGGTGGTGGAGGAGGGCCTGGAGGTCCTACTGACCCTGAGGTTCCATGTCCCTGAAATATAAACAGTCCAAGTTTAAATGCTTATAATAAAATGCAGCAGAAAGAATATATGTCAATAGATATTTGTGCTTTGGTTAAGATTTAATATGCCTTCTTTAATCTTAAAAGATTCTATACTGTTACAGTACACTTAGAAAACCTTACATAGACTTTTGATAAGCATTATAAACGCTGGGTAGTGATTACTTCTCCTAATAAATTAATACAAAGAAAGTTGACATCCACTCACATTTATAAAATAATCCTCCAAAATAATGTAAAAATTACCTTTCATGTGAAATGCTTTGACAGAAGACGTACTGTACATGGCTTGAGCCCGTTACACTACTTGGTCTGAATATATGAAAATTAAAACACAGTCATAGACTCAAATCCCTTAGAGGCCAACTAGACTTACACAAGACTCTGGTTTCGGGGCTTGTAGGTCAGCTGAGTTGTTTAAGCACCTGCTGGGGAAAACCCAAGTCAAGTGCAGGGGACCACAGTTGGATCCCCAGCTCCCCATGCCTTACAAGACCCACCCTTAACGCAGCCTCAGCCAGACCAAAAAAAAAAAAGTTTCTCAACTTAAAAAAAAAAGACTCAGTTTCATAGCAACATTTAACTGAGCTGTTTTTCAAAACTAATTATTAGGCTATGTGTGGTAGTATACATCTGAGATCCCAGTACTCATAAAGCTGAGGCAGGAGGATCATCACAATGTCCCAGTCAGCCTAATCTACATAATGAATTCACAGCAAGAACTACACAGCAAGACCCTGTCTCAAGAAAACAAAAAATTAAACAAAAATAGCAATAATTAATACTAAGATAATGGAAAGAAAACACTTTATTCAATATTGTCTTCTTTTCTGAATTTTGCACTAATTTTAAACCAATACTGATCACAAAGGTTCAATTTCAAAAAAAAATATAAACATGTAGGTATTCTCTAGAAATATCTCCAAGAAATCACTACCAGTAAACAGATAATGTTAATAATCAAGATGGGACATTAGATTATTAGAATAAGACTGGGCGTGGAGGCGTACACTTGTAATCCCACCTCCTGGGGAGCTGTAAACAGGCAGATCACTACAAGTTCGATCTACATAGTGACACCCTGTAGACCCTTACTAAAATACAAAAAAAAATTACTAGAATAAAGGATTTAAAACTGAAATTTCTTGAAATAGCATTATTTTATTTGAGAAAAGATCCTTGTATATAATACACATTTTCTCCTTGAACTATTATAGTAATGAAACTTAAATACTTTTACAAAATAAATAAGTTCGAAGATATTTTTTGAAGAATCACCTCAAATGAATTCCTAGTAAAAAAATATTAAAAGTTAACACACATGCATAGCCAGGATCCTAGAAATATTTTGCATGATATTCACCATACAGTGACCAAGTATTTTCTTTACATAGTAACTAATCATGTGTATACATAAATATATAGGTCTGAAGTGTTTCTATACTTAAGAAAGCAAGTGCTTCCATGGAATGAAATATTTCTGAAGGTCAAGAAAAATTAGATAGTATCAAAGTATACAAATTTAATTCATTTTTAAAATAAAACTACTATTTAAATTTTTTGATTTTTATAATTCAGAGTAAGATAAACATTATAGGTAAATTAAAAGTTCAATAAATTAGCAGTATATCTTAAAAGTTTTTATATATGGATTTTTTATTACAGTACTTTCGAAAGGCAAAACATACATTCCATTTTAAATAGCATCTAAAACTAAGAGACATAAATAGACATATTTGTAAACATCCCATTTTTGTCTTAGTTAGGTATCTATTGTGAAACCCTCAGTGCAACCTGTACAAGGTCTTAGGTTAGATCCTACTACCATCTGAAAAAAATGTAATCAATAAAGGATCATACTCAAATTAAAGCACTGTTGGCTGGGTATGATGGCACACACCTATAATCCCAGCACTCAGGAGGCTGAGGCAAGAAGATTCCAAGAGGTGGAGGCAGTCTGGGCTACATATTTAACTGAGTTAAACAACAAGATGTGGTCTCAAAAAATTCTTAGTATTTATTCAAAAGCTGTTAAATACCATATTAACCTTTTCTTCTCTTTCATGAGCAATTAGGAATTGAACAGCTAGACAACAATATAGTATTATGAATTGCACATAGCACATGAGTAATTTAACATTTGATAGCATTTGGTGAACATTAAAGAGTATTATGTGACTTCACTTTTATGGCTAAGTTAGTAGTTAATAAGTAATCTTTGAATAAGGCCTCTGCTGGATATAATACGGTCTTCATTAAGAAATACACATATCTCGAAATGCTTATATTCATGTGAAAGAAAGACGAAGCATATGAACAAATACAGCATGACTGGCCTTAAAATGGAATGTAGGTTAGGGAAATTCCCTACTGCAGTTTTTAGTGAAGCTTTTCAAAAGATGTCTTACTACTGAGCTTCTCCTTTAAAAGATGCATTTCACATGGGCAAATGGAAGGCATTTCTGAGAGAGAATAACATAAGCCAAATTGCTCAACTGAATTAGATGAAAACACTATTTCCAAAAGAAGTTATGTAATAGATTTTCTGACATAAAAGGTTCTGTGGTTAAATGAGACTTAGAAAGCTGTATTAGAAAGACAGGATTCTTCAGTAAAGGCCAGTTTGGACCCTTTAATATGTTAATGAGTATAGTGACTTTCCATAAAGGAATTTTATGTGTACTTTATTTAGTGAACTATAGAATGCTTTCCTTATGAAACTGTGTTAGCATCTCTGTAACTTGTGTCTGAGAAATAATGGCACAAGAAAAAGTACAGAGGCAGTTACTTGCAAATGGAAGGGCGAGAAAAGTGACTAGGCTCAGGTGATGCTGCAGTTGGGAACGGTGAGAGCTTTATCTGCAAAAGAGGATAAGTAAACCCATGCTAGATGGTCTTAAAATTCCAAGTAAGGAGATTTCATTTAATCCCTACTAAAGCAGCAGCCATTGAACATATTAAAGCCAAGAGTGATAATACTCAGGGTAGTGTTTTAGGAAGATTAATTTGCCACTGGCATAAAGGATGAACCTGAAAAGGAAGAAAACACAGGCCAGAGAAAAATGAGAACACAATTGTAATAATCCAGGTAAGATGAAATGAGAGTGGACCAGAGGGCTTCTGGGTTTAGATGTGGGGGTGGGGATAAGGGTGCATAAAACAGTGACTGGCTTAATTCAGAATGAGCAGGGAAGCAAAAAGTGAAAGAAACTCCAATTTTAAAAACTAAGGGCTGGCCAAATAGCTCAGCACTCAGCAGATTAAAGTGCCTGCAAGCAGACTCAAGGGCCTGGGTTTGATCCTCAGCCCTGCCCCCAGGGTACAATGAAATGGCAACTGAGACTGGGCAAGGTGTGCCATAATACCAGCTCCTGGGAGGCTGTAAAAAGGCGGATCACCACGAGTCCAGTCTAGTACTGAGACCCTGAACACCATGTAGACCCTTCCCTAAAATACAAAATAATAATATAAAAATAAAAAACCTTAAAATGTTGGTAGAGTTTAAATAAATAAGAATGGAGACAAAGGTGGCTTGAGGAAAGACAAGAGATCAGGAATAAGGGGAGTTAGGCAAGCACTAGACATTATGTAGTTCAGTGCAAAGGCCATGGCTTCAATATCCAATATCCATCCATCCATCCATCCATTCATACATACATACATACATTCATAAATAAAAACAAACAGAAGAAGGATGAAGACTGAAGAACGCCAACAGTTAGGGAGTAAAACAATAAAATGACATTTTCACATCTAAAAAGCTAAGTCAGATGATGTAAAAAGAGAGATTCAGTAAAAAAGAAATTGTGTTATAGATAAGTGATGTAGGCTAAGATAGGGAAAGGTCAGCACATTCAATTCTCAGCTATCTGGTTACTTTTGAGGTAATTTTATCATAAACTGATGGCAGTAATCCCAGTCTATTAACCATTACCTATGGAGTGTTCACTATGTGAAGACATCTTCAATTTCTTAGTATTCATTTACGGCTTAAAATATGTTAATAAGAGTACTTAGTTAATTCTAAAGTTTAGATGCCCTAATTAAGATTTTACATGCATATGGGCGCTTTTCATCCAAGGGAATTGAGGTAGAAATGTAATGTGCATAGGCTTTAAGATGATGATGTTCTATATTGAAAGAGAACTCAAAGAGCCTTTGGGATAATTAAAATTAATGAGCATTTTCATATTCTTTTTGAAAAAAATACTATGCACTCGATTTTTCAATTCATCATAAAAATTTCATCTCAAAAACAGTTTTGCCATTGTAGTATATTCCTTTAAAATATTCAGAGAAGCTTAAGCAATGGATGCCTTATTCTTTCAAACATTAAAATGACTTACAGTCTTAGAAAATCAAATCTGTAGAGTTATTCCAACTAAAATATGAAGCTGCCAAGAAAATCTCCTTCCAGTTACATTTTTCCTTCTATCATACAAGGTAATTTTCCTCCATCGAACTCACTGTGTCATGACATAAAGTCTATACCTTGCTTCATTACCTGGGTCCGGAGTTGCTGGATTTCTGTTTCAAGTTCTTTGATTTTTTCTTCTCTTTTTTGAAGCTCAGCTTGAGCTTCCTGCCGAGCTGTGAATTCTTCATCGAACTGCAATAATCACCACCATAAAAGTACAGTTAACAATATACTTTTGAGAAAGCTTTAAAAAACATTAGTAAATAACTGCTAAGTTTCACCTAGTTGAATTCATCACTCAGAAAACCAGAGCTCTTGAATACTTTTATGAGAATTAAGAGTCCATGTTGACACAGGGCATTGTTTCTGCTGGTAGTGACACTAATTTAGAAATACTCACACACCCTCCAAATCCAAGGTAAAGCTATTTTCATTTGTGAAAAACAAATGCAAAAAAAAGGCAAATTGAAGTCCTTTTTCATGTGTAAAGAATGATTTTATCTTGATCAAAATTTGATTTTAGAATTGATATTTCATCCTATACTTTTAAGAGTAATAATTAGAAAATGAAATCCAAAACTTCAATGAGCACTTTGATATCTTTAACTGCATTTAATCGTGAAAAGAAATTACCCATTTAGAATGCTCAAAGGAATGTTCATGAATACAAATTAGAACATTTTTTTTAAAATCAAAATTGTCTAATATCCAAAAAGCCGAGTTCCACAAAATCAGACAATAGATCAAAACATACTGTAGTAACAGTTTCTGTCAGATGGATGACCAAAATAAGTGTATCACATGTGTTAAGAGGGAAATGAGAATTAAGAATATTATGTGCTAAGCCAAAGAAACCGTCAGGATGATGCATATTCATTCCCTGCATCCTGCTCCAGTCCTTCTTATAGTCAGAGTTCTAAGCAGGCACTAACCAGCCTGAAAATTTATAGTGGCTACTGCTTACCTCCCATTAGAGGAACATTTTATTTGCTTTATTGTCAATGTCACCTTAAGTCACGGTATAAATCTACACATTATTTCAATAATATTACTTGTGTTTCCAAAAGAGACATATCTTACTGTCCAAAATTATCTTTATAGTTTGTGGAACAATGCAAATGTATGTCCATTGCAATAAATATTCATCATCATAGTAGGTTTGACATTTGGAAATTATACAGTACCATTCTGCTATAAATCTGAAGAAAAAGAATGGCTGGGGAAAAGCGATAATAATAGTATTTAGGTCAAACCTGATACATTAGTTAGAAATGCTTTTACCCATCTCTACTTGAGTCACTGTAAAGTGTCCCATAGAAGTTGATGCAGATTGTTTCTAATATCTTTACTTTTCAAAGGCATCCCAGATACATGGGGTGAAGGATCCACAAATCTTGAAAAAACCTTATTTTCCTAGCTCACGCAGAAGGTGGAGGTCCTCCAAATTTAGCTTACTCAGGTTCAATACTATGTATGTTAAGATCTATCTGAAACTATGTTCTCATCTCCGCCTCCCAAAATTGGCTTTTTTGTGTGTTTCTCAAAGGTGACATCTACACAATTTCACTGCCCACCAGTTTTCCTTTACACATGGCTTACTGGTACATTTGAAAGGGAACAAAAAATGTTTCTGCTTTTACATTATGTAAATGTATAAAACCAAATAGAAATCAGAAACATATGAAACACATGAGCCCAGATCTTGCAAGTCCACTAATTTTATCTTCTTTTAATAATGAAGAAAGAAAGATACAAGGAGCACAGTGGTTTGCTTAAGGTCATAGCTAATGAACGGAAACCATGTGATCAGACCTTACAACTTCAGCCTCTTTAAATGCTGCAATATGATAATGCACAGAGACAACCATTAATTTATCTCCATGCATGTTTCCATTCTAAATTCTGGTAATGAGAGTAGAGAATAAAACACTGAAATTTTTCTGTCTTCAGAACTGCATTTTTCATATTGTATGCTTACAAAAAACTTTGGTAGGGGGACTACCTGCTCAACCCCCGTCCCTCTCTCAGACAGGAGCTTTATTTCCCTCAATAAATATATTCTTTTTATTTCCATAATTTTATTGAGAAATAAATAGCAATGAGACAGTTTCAAACCAAATCGGTAGGACAGTTTCAATAATTCACACATTGCACACATTCTTCCTAGTAGTTAATTGCTGTACAAGATGCGGACATGATATCCTGTTTACAAACACCATTAGAAAAAATCTCTCTGTTCATTAAGAGAATGTAACTATATATCTATCCTAATCACTTTGAATACACAGATACAAAATGGACATTCATCTGTATCCCCTTTTTGTTAAGTAAATAAATCAATATATTCTGCTCATAAAAAACTTTGCTAGATTAATAATCACAATTAGTTCCATTCTTATGTCTAATTACAGTATGAGCTGAAAATTAAGGAGATTTAAAGATTTTCAAAGGGAATTTAGGACTTGCTACTTAAAATATATTAGAAATATAAAGGTCTATATTTAAAAACATGCATTTTATTTCACTAATAGAAATGACAGTTTCACACAAATATTGTATGTCAAGCTCAGGCTCTTAAAACTATTCTAGTAACTGAAAGATCAAAGACATTTCTTCAGTTGCCCTACAGTAACTATAATTTCCAGAGTGATGGAAAAAGTGATTATCTAATCTCCAAGATAAGTCATAACTTTAAAGAAAGAGCAATATGTAAGCACTTTATCTTGCTGGCAGATGGCTGAAAAGTGGAGAGCTTTTAGAACTGTGCTTCAATCCTTTTTGCTATACTCAACAGGAGAGAAATACTATACTAATGTTTAAGTGGATCTAAGGAAGGAAGTGAGTAAGGGAGGGAAGGAGAGCAAAGGACAGAAAATAGGAAGGGAGAAAGGGTAGAAAGGAGGGAGGGAGATAGGGCAAGTGGGTGTTTCATAGAGGTTAATTATGTCTATGCTTTCATGAAACAAGAATAAGACCATCAGACCTAAATAAAACATTCATAAATCTGGCAACTAATCAAGGGCATTTCTCTGAGGTATTAACACAGAATGAGAGAGAAATCTCAAGTCCCATCAAGTCTACACACAAGTCTACACACATGATGTAGCACCACCATTGAACAAAAAGTAATTTAAAAACTAGAACTTAAGAAGTGGGGAAACACTGAGATCACTGCAACTACTATGTTTCACTGCTATCAGTGGCATCGAATTTAAAGATCAGAGCTTTAAGGATCAGCTAAATATTTCACATATCTCCAAGGAATTACCTATTTTTAGTGTTAGCTATAGGAAGGTAATGAGGGAATTTATTTTGGTTGATTGCTTCTAAGTATATCTTTCAGCTCTGATTTTATTGCATTTATCACATTAGTATAATGTGACTAGTGGTTTTCTTCCATAATAGATTAGAGATATGATGGAGGGAATAAAACTAACCTTATCTCATTAGGAAATAAATCAATATTATGTTCTTTGGCTTGAATCTAGAAATGTAAACACTATCATTCTAAAACAGTCATAGGTCTCATATAAAGAAACAAGATACAATATGTGCTGTGATTAAGTTATTAGTTTAGCAATCATACCTAATTTCTATAAATCTTACCTTCTTTGAAAATTCCACTGCTTTCTGTTCACTTTCTTCAACTTTTGCCTTGTTCACACAAGAATCTAGTAAGATTTACCAAAAACGATTAGAAATTATAGCATGAGATCCCTTTCCAAACGATAGCTACTAGTCTACAATTCCATGTAGACTATTCTTATCAAAGCAGTTGCTTTTTTTTTTTTTTGTCTTTCAGAGACAGGGTCTCGCTATACTGTTCAGGCTGGCCTTGAAATCACTTTGTAGGCCATGCTGGTCTTGAACTCACAACAATCCTCCTTCCTCAACCTCCTACGTGCTGAGATTATAGGCCTGGGCCATCATACCCAGCTGGCAGTTGCCATTAAAGGAAAATTCATCTATTCTAAATATAAACCAAACAAATATATTTTCTTTCTGTACTATTGTAAGTGAATTGAATGGAAGTATATTTGCAGCAGAAAATCAAGCATCCATAAATATATTTGTTTTAAAGGAACATACTTTAACTCTTACATTATCAACATCAAAAAAACTTGTACTTCATTTTGAATAGAGAGGTAGAAAAGACTCCATGTTAAAAATTATCAAGACTCAAAGTTATGATTGAAGATTTAAAAGATAGACTGATGTTCATTAATTCAAGATTCCCAGTGAAAGATTTTACTTATGGGACAAAATGTATCATGTACACAGAGAAACAAACTTTAAATTTCACTAGTCTCATAATACACTTCATAATATAGTGAGTTTGGGTATAGTGCAGCAACACTGTAATCTCAGGTGTTCAGTGGCTGAAGCAAGAGGAACTTAACTTTTAGCTGCTGCTTAGGCATCTTAACAAGACAATCTTAAAATTCAATTCTCAAAAAAAGTCAGGAATGAATCTCAGTGGTAGATTGCTTGTTTGACATGCATAAGATTTTGGGTTCAATCCTCAGCATTGCCAAATAAGAGAAAAAAGAAATGTTATTCATTATAAATCATGGAAGAACCTTGATTGTGCAATAGTGTATTAAAATCTACTCTGTATCTAGCCATTCTACATTCATTTACTTAAAAGAAATGAAAATATATGGCTGTACCAAGACTTGCATGTGACTGTTCAGAGCAGCTTCATTTTTAGTAGCTAAAAACTGGAAAGAACCCATATGATTATCATCAAGTATATGTATGAACAAATGCTGGTATACTTATATGCAAAAATAACTACTCAACAAAAGAATGCACTATCGATACACACATGTATGAATCTCAAAATAACTATGCTTAACAAAAAGAGAGCACACGCTGTTTTGAACTATATGAAATTTTAGAAAATAAAATTTTTAAGACCGAAAATTTAAATAAAACTAGTAAGATATCAGTACCTATCTCATGATACAGAGTAGTAGGAGCCATGGGAAGGGAAAACTAGAAGGAAAATGCAGAAGCTTTAAGAGGTAATAAAGAAGTTTATTATTGTAACGGAGATGGAATATATATATATATATATATATATATATATATAGAGAGAGAGAGAGAGAGAGAGAGAGAGAGAGACACTCAAAATTTATCATAATATATACTTTAAATATGAGTAGTTTTTCTTATGTCATATTCACCTCAACCAAGTTTTTTTTTCCTTTCTTTGTATGTGTGGCTGGAGCCAAGTAACTGAGAACAGTGGTATGTGTTAAATTCAGCAGGGAGGAAAGGCCTATGCTGTGCCAGATACACGCAGTAATGCCTTTTGCTTTTGTTTAAATTTCAATGGGAAGGCATTGGACATCTTTAGGAAAGAATTTGATATGTTTTAACCTCTGAGAAATACTAAATTTATAGAATTGTGAAATCATAACAGACTCCATTCAATATTCTCAGGTTTAAGTAATCTTGAAATAGTTCTTCAAGCATTTAGTAACTTTCCTGAGTACTCGGGTGTATGTATATGTGTATGCGTGTGCAGGAGCATGTGTTCTAATGAACGTTCCACAGAAACTCTCAAAAAGAACTTGTCAAAAAGAACTCTCAGTATAAACAGTAATAACTAGATGCAATTTTGACTTACCTAGTTTTAGAATTGAGAAAATCAAACCTAGACATGTTAGATGATTTGAGTACAATCACAAAGTGACGTGTGGGTGAGGTCATAATGGATCCTTGTTGCAGACTATTCCTTCTGAGCCCATCCCTTCCTCCTCAATGCTTCCAATTGGCAATATAACAATTATAAGTACATGGCATACAGCACACAAAACAAATGTCTGTTGAACAACAAAAAGCTCACCAACACCAGCAGTACCATCTACGTGCTAACTAGGGTCCCTAATTAATAAGCCAAAACACTTATTTGGAAATACTCCCTTGTGACTCCTTCCACACAATGCAAAATAAATTACTAAGTTTATCCAATTCTTTGAAAAACCTACGGTGGGCCCGAGGCCCACATTCCTTTCTGAGGCAAGGCAAAGTGGTACAAGCTTGCTGTAAAAAATCTTGAAACTTCATACCCTCATTTACTGCAATCAATCCTAAGGAAATAATTAGCAAAAAACAAACACTATAACATTCATATCAGCTTCATTTATAATCCCAGTGAAAACCTGAAGACAATCTATTTTTTCTTTTATTTTTTTCTGAAGACAATCTAAATGCTCAATAAGAAAGGAGAGTCTGTATGATGGAACATTATGCAGACATACGAAGACCCATTTTAAAGCTGACATGGCAAACATCAGAATAATGTTCCATGAAAAACTAGCCTTTACATAGATGAGAGATGAATTGGGCAAGCAGGCAGACAGAGACTATAAGAAAATGTACTAATCTGGGTGGTGGTTCATACCTGAAATCTCAGCACTCAAAGGCTGAGGCAGGAGGATCACTGCGAGCTCAAGACCAGCCTGGGCTACACAGTAAGTTAAAGGCTAGCTTGAACTACATAGACTTGTCTTTAAAAAAAAAAAAAAGGAACAAAAGCAACAACAACAAAAAAATGTTCTTGGCTGAATAGGAACTCACTGTGATGTGAACGTACATGGTGGTATGTCACTTATACTAAGTTTATTGCCTTCAGTAAATGCATAGTATGTTTTTTAAAAAGAACATATTATAAAAACTAAGGTATACATCTTTAAATATCACAATAAATCTATCCAATGCTATAGGGAAATAATTAATATCTATTTGGCAGTCAACATCTGTTGTTTTCCTTCTTTAAAGCAAGTGAGTTCATGCTTGAATTTTACCTCTACTGATTTCCGCTAAGTACAAAAAATGTTTCTTAAATGTAAGGTCATGTAGTGTTGTATATTTTACATGGGAAGTTTCACTTGATGCGTTGGATAAAACTGTCCTGGGAAGTATTACTAACTACCATCATATGCTGACAAAAAGTCATTTTCTTAGCGATTTGAGGAGGCAAATCAGATAACTTCAATTTTTCTTCCTATATCTAACATTGATGAAAATACAAATTTATCTACTTGATAGACTCTAAAAGCCTTAAGTTGCTGAAATAAACCTATATTTCTTTCACAAAAACTATAACCTAGCTATAACACTAATGGGACCCTATTGTACTCATGAGTTTTACAATACTTCTATGATACCAGTATAAATTGCAGTTAAAGATTTCTGATGCATGCTTCTAAAACACAAAGCATTCACTTACAAGAATACAATGACTTCTTTGGGGATACTGAGTTTAAACTTACATCAGAAGTGTTAAAACTTGTTGCCTATGTTAACATGTCCAATCACACAGGCACAACTTTCACAATAATCATAATTAATAATTATACCAATTATGTATCTTGGGACACATGGTTTTCTAGATAGTAATAGAAGATTCAGTGAGAGATCCACCTATAAAAGTGCTTATTTACAGAAGTATAAAGCAAAAAATATAGTAAGCATTACATTACATACCTATCAGATGAGTAAAATCAATGTCTAATCTTTGCCTATACTTGAAGTCTGGGTCCATACCACTGCAGTGCAGCACTATCTGTGAAACACATTCTTCAATTATCTTGTAATACTGTGGCCTGAAAAAGAGAGAAAGTATTGGGGCACACTTTTTCTACCTGGAAAAATCAATTTTCGTAAGAAGAGATTCAGTTATGTTTAAAAAAAAATTTTTGCTACTAAAAAAAAAAATCCCTCCCACCATTATACTCACTTAGGAAAATATGCCTAAACTTAAGTATGAGCTGGATGTTACAGTGCCAAACACACTGTGATGTAATCAACTGCAAATGTTTAGTGACTTAATACTCTTTTTCAGGGATCCATGCCTATGTTCAAAGATACTTACAAAGGTTTTCTATTTACTTAATCTATTCTTTAAATCTAGTGAAATTAAATGACTCCTTAGCGCTACATCTGTGGAAATAGAAATGTTTCTGAGCTTCCACAAATTCTCAATTTCCATAAGGGTTATGTTTCTTGACATTAGATGGTTAAGATATATCTTGAATTTATTATCACACTTGTAATCAAGATAGCTATAGTAGCTAACAAAACTGTACAAAACCAACTTGCATATTATTCCAAATAATCTGCAAGATTTAACTTATTTTAAAAGATCCATTTTATGAAAGCATATACACTCTGTGTGCATGGCTATAAACTCAATTTGTGAAATGTATTAATGGTTTTACATTATATCCTAAAACTGCCATCTATCAAGGTTGTTTTTGGATTTAAAAATGACTATTCGCATACTGCAAAATTGTAAAAAGGCATTTTTCACATTAAAATGAGAGGAATATTTAGCATTTGTCTTAGTTTAATCAATTCAACAGAGAAAAGTTCAGTAAGAAGTACTCAAATAGGTTATGAAAGCATCCCCAAATAAAATTTTCAAAGCCACTAGTTTCAAAAGTTTGCAAATCCAGCCAAACATAATGCAATTGCTCTTCTATGTCTTTAGTCATGGGGATGGCCCCTAAGTTTAGAAAGAAAAGCAATGTATATTACACATATAGGGCTTTTTCAACTCATCCTCAGGTCTCAGGTAAATAATGGATCATAATCTCAGTAGAGTCAATAAACGTGAGTAAATAAGAAAAATGCAATGTTTTTCCTTATGGTCAAGATCATAATGCATAAGTGAAATAAAAACTGTTGTCATACTTCTATCGCACATGAATGGTCTTGGGATGAAAAAGATGCCAGATGTGTGTAATTTCTCATTTAGTCATGCTTACTTAGAATGGACAGCTTCAAGCACATGGACTCCCAGGTAACTGAGAATGTCTGGGCTCAGTCCTCTCTTAATCATCACAGTTCAATTTAGAGACAATAATCATTATAATGAAAGATGATCTCACCAGCTCTAAAACAGTATGGTATTTATTATTTTCAAAATTCTTCTCTTTATGTAATATCATGATGCTCATTAAATTACTGTAGTGGCCTGAACTATAGTGATTCTCTATGTTGCTTAAAAACTATCATTTTCAGTAGATCTACACCTTAACTTCTGCTAGCCTTCCTTTTCCTTTTAAACATAGAGGTTTTGAGAAATCAGAGAACCTAGGTTGGCAGAATTTCACGTAAACTAGATTTTGGCAAATATCTAATAGCTTCTAGAACCTTTAATTGTAACACTACAGTAACCAGCCTATGCATATTTTCAGTTACTCTAGAACACAACTTATAACTTTCCTCTTTTTAGATATTTTTCACATTAGTAGAATCTGACACTTAATTTTATTATCATGCTAATTTATTTTTGTCCAAAGAATTATACTACTGGACCCAAAAATGAAATATTTTTTATTATTTTCTTCAGTTGATATGATATTAAATTAAAATATAAAATAGAAATAACAGTGAAAACTGAACTACTAAAATGTACAAAGTAAAAAAAATGTTTTAGAAGCTTTAGTGTTTTTCCAGTTATCATTGTCTAGCCAAAAATTTCATCAAAGTTACTAATATTCTTTGCATTCATTATTATTAAAAATCCTGTTGCTGAAATACTTCAGTTTTAAAGTAGGTATTACTTCTCATTAAAATAAAATTAAATAAACACCATTTTTAAAAAGTGGTGGTGTATGCTTGTAATTCTACCACTCGGATAGCTGAAGCTGGAAGATTGCAATGAGTTCGAGGCCAGCCTGGGCTGCAAAGTGAGTTCAAAGCCAGTCTTAACTTTATAGTTAGACAATGCCCCAAAAGATGAAAAAAAAAACACGTGGGTACTTTTAGTAGTCAAATGTCTATATTCTGTGTATGTATATGTGCATATATAACAGACACCCCACTATATTGTTAATTTTCCATTAATATCCAATTCAAATTATAAACATAGTACTGTTGGAACTATGTCTTACCTGATATAATAGTCATTTCTGATAAGCAAAAAATGTTGTAGAATGGATAATAAATAAGATTCAGCAGCAGTGTCTTTCAACATATTATAAAGAAGATGGTACACTTCATTCATATCAGTAAAAAGTAAGTAAAGGAAAAAATCAAAGATTCTTGATGAAAGTTGCATTCATAACAAAAGAAATTTAAATTTTAAAATTTAGACTTATAATTTTGCTTCCATTACTGTTACTAAAACTTTCAACTACATATTCCACTATTTAAACTTTAGGTGGTTAAGAAATATACTGAATTTACTATAGCACTTGTAATCAATATAGCAATAATAGATAACAAAACTACTAAGCTAACTTGTACATTATTCCAAAGATTTATTTTAACATTTTTTAAAAGACACATTTTATGAAAGCATATAGTTAATATGCAAGGCTATATACTCAATTTGTGTAAGGTATTAAAAGTTTTAAATTATATTTTAAGTCTGTAATATATTTTTACATACAGAAAATAATCCTATATTATCACTTTTATCTTTTAACTAGAAAAACAGAACAACAGAGCATTTCCCGGACAATTTGACTATTAAAATCTGAAAAGATCAGTCACTCATTAAAATAAAGTACAGCTTATAGCTAGCACCACCCGATCAGGAATGCTGTCCATTACAATGTTTTTTCCCTGTTTTCCCTATGTTTTTCTTTTTTAGTTTATTGGTACAGTTTAGGTGTACATAACGACATGACTACTTAAAGAGAATTTGTATCTGTGCATTATATAGCTTGATTCCTTTATTTCTCCCATTTTTATGCCCTCTTTTTAAGCCCCCTTCCCCTCACTGCTCACAGACTCAGTTTTCATTTTCTCCTTTTTCTCTCATTTATTCTTTTCCTTCCTATTTTTTAGATAGGAGACCTATACTCATTCCTATATGTAAGCCACTACTACCCTATCTTACTACATAGAAACTAGAAGGGAAATAAACATGCTATGAACTACTAAAAGATCACAAAATGTCTTATTTTTAATCCAGTTGAAATACTAAATACAAAATAACTGCTGGTATTCATCCACATTTCTTTGAAAAAAGATGAATTGTAAAGACAACAGTGGTTGAAACATTTTTCTTAGAATACAAAAATGGTGGTAGAACTAAAGATACTTTTAGTAAATTAGAAAACAGCACTGTTATGACAAAAGCAAGGACCTAGAAAATCGATGTAGAATAAAAGTAAAGGATGAGTTGTAATCCAACATCCTAAAAATAACTTGAAATGTCAATATTTTCTCTGAAGTAGAATTAAGTATAAGATGGATTACTTCTTGGATGCCATGTATGAATGTTGTGGTAAAGTATCAGAAGGTTCCTTAAATGGCTATAGACTGAGTCAAAAAAATACCTTTATAGTACAACTTGACTAGAAGAAAAATCTATACAAAGGAAAGTAGTTATTAACTGATATAAAAGGAACTTAGCATAAGGAAATCCACTGCAAACTGGCCACTAAACTCAAATAAAAATTATTCCTTATAATAACAATACTGCTATTCGTGGCACACAGATATTTATACAGTACCTACCTATATGTATGACTTCAAATAGGAACACTGGAGAAATGAGAAAATAACATTTCTGCCCTCAATCTAACAGGGGCAGAAAAGTATACATGAATAATATAAAACAAACAAGCATCCATGGGACTTTCTAGGAAGGAAATACTATTTCAGCATTTTTTTTCACAGGGGCTAGGTGATGGAGGGAAGAACATACTATGAAGAAAAAGTCTCAACTCTAACGTTACTTTGGTTTGGAAGTGTTTCCCTGAATCTCAGAATCTGTAAGAAATATAATAGGTGTGAAGGAAATGGCTAGTAGCGCTAGCATCACCATGTCTCAGATGGAAATTCACTTCACATATCATCAATAGTACAAGATTATATGGTAGTTGCATTTGACTCAGATACCTTCATGACACAACCTTGTTATATAGTCAGCTAATTATTTTATCTAAACAGTTTTGCAATAGTTAAAAAGCAAAACTTTGACAGGGAATAACATTTATTTCCATTGAATGTTATCTCTAAACAGAGTACCACTTAATAAACTGAAAAAATATACTTATATATAAATTCAGGAAACTTTTCCCCATTTTTATATGCTAGGTATACTTGTGCTGGGCTCTTGTCTATTCAAAGCTACAGAGCGGAGTGTATCAATTATACAGGAAGCCATACTGTAGGTTTTAATAGCCTGTATAATTCATCAATACAGTGTGACAACTCATTATGAATCGGAAGATGAGCATCATATTGATGTTCTAATGTAAACAAATGGATATTAATTGGGCTAGCAGACAAAACCTCTAATAACAGGTCTAAAAATCACCCTCAAATTCCCTTTTCTTATGTTCAGTATTATCTTTGTTGTTTGTCAAAGGATATTCCATTTCTGCTCGAATATCATTCAGACGATGAGACAATTCATTTAGGTCATCTTCTTTGTTCTCATCAAATACTTTCAACTGAATATCAAGCTCATCATTCTCTTTTTCTTTTAGGTCCTAATACATAAACATAAAAATTTAGCAGATAAACAACCATTTGACAATAGAATATTTCAATATTAATGAGCAAAAAAAAATTCTTCATTTATACACATGGAAGCAATTTCAAATACTGACCCAGGTAACTGTTTTCCTGAAAACAGAAAGTGTAACACATTTTTCTATTTCTAAATAAAAGAAGCTTATTGCATTCACTGCATTTTGGTGCTGTGTCCTATATCCTGTTTATTCAGTTTTAAAAAATTAGCAACCACTTTTACAAAAATAAAAAAAAAACACTAATTGCTAACAAGTCAAATTAAATGCTGTAGGTTTGAACAAACATACTAATCAACGACTGAAAAAGAATGCATGCAGTTAGAACATTCCATATGCCTTTGGCAAAATGTAAACATAGACCAATTGTATTAATGAAGAACGGATGCAAAGATATATTCAAGCACAACATTCCCAAGTATGGCGTGGAGAAGTTTTATAAATTAAATTATTTTAACTAATATTTTGCTATTTTAAAGCACAAAGGTGTTAGGATTTTTTCTTCAAAAAAAACCAAGCTTTATATCTAGCTTCCTCCCCCACCTTTCATTTGGCCTTAGCCTAATTATAAAATACCAACTTGGGCATTGAAGACTTGGTTTTTTGTAATACATCATAAGCACATGCATTACAAAGCTGTGATGATTTTCAAAATAATAGTATAAAATCTTGGGAAGCATGCCACACTAGAGATTGTTGGGCTTAATATATATCACCTGGAATATCTTTAATATATGTCCTTTAAGAAGTGGCTTTCAAAACCCAAATCAATAATCACAACTGTGGATGCTCAAGGGTGATACCAAAAGTGGGACTAGGTGGTTCAGAGCTGAAATTGCACTCTAAAAGGAAATGCAAGCATGGTGTACTTCAAATTAGGAAAACAAAGAAATGGGATCCAATTTTTATATTTTCATTCAAATGAATAATGACAAATGGAGCTATAATCACTACTACTGAAGCTAACCACAAATTAAGACTACTTTTACATATTATTTTCCTAAAATTTAAATGTATGATAATTTACTGAAATGGTATCTATAGAACCACAGAAAACACTTGGTAAAAAGTTTCTGCACAATGTATCCCAACAGTTTCATCTTGCATAAGAATTAGCATTGGGCCTAGCTTTTCAATTTTAAGAGGAATGAAGAAATTTATCTGAATGCAAAATTATCAAACATTTGCACAGCTTATTATCACTGGATTTCTGAATTATATTCAGAAATTCACAGAAGTCAGCCTTATTCATATGCTGGTCATTGCAGAATCAGTTTACACATTTTATTCACACAGTTTAAAATACATTCTTTTCCTTATTCTTACAGCACAGCACATTCTCTTAGATATCCATCATGAAACTTGAATACAGGCAAAGGTTTAATGTAAATGCTGCCACCTAATTAGCATTAAAACTTTACAAAACATGGAAAATAGTCTATATGACTAAAATATTTTCAGTGAAAATAACTCTTTTAAGTATGAATTTTATATAATATAAAGGAAAATGATGAACATGTACAAGTGTAAGATATTGTAAACACTATCAGTGATGCTCTAGACTATTAAGATGAATATATGATCATATATATATATATATATATATATTTATTTATTTATTTTTATAAAATTTTCTCTCAGGCAATTGTCAAACCCTGAAGGACATAGCCATAAAATCTTGATAAAAAATTCTATCAATTAAAAATTTTGCATAGCACTAATAATGACAGATATCCTATTTGGAAATATGTCACAATAGTATATATGAAATGGATATTTCAAAATTAATTATACTATCACTATCATGTGTAAATATTTTAAGAGAACAATTGAATAATGATATACATTTTGCACAATAATTTAAATATATAATAAGTTTTGACAATAGAGAGCATGTCAAAGAAAATCAACCACCATCAGTAAGTAGTGATTACTATCATTAACAGGCAAGCTTTCAAATGAATTAAAAAGAGACTGTCAGTCTTTTAAAAGAGATAAAAGTATGATCATTGCCTATGAACACAATTTCTTTCTATACTACTCCTTCATATATCTGATTTAACTGATATTTACTTATTTACCTAAAGAAAAGTCAGATAAAGAAGAAAAGTGACAGATAAAAATCAAAATACAGCCTGTCAGGGACCTGTAATTGAAAAACCTAGAAAATAACAACTTGGAGAAAATAAAAGGCAGTACCTGTACATTCTAGGAAGCAGGAGGGAGTAAAAAGGAAAACTGGAAACTACAAAGAGAAGCTGGAGAAATGGAGCACAAGGCAGAGAAAAGAACAAAGCTGTCTGGAAGTTCACTCTTGCTCCTGGGAAGGACAACCTGCTTCCACAGACACAAGGTGAGACCTCAGGGTCAGGAACTCCAAGGAGAAAGAGCAGCCATGAAAAATTCATGAAGAATACATATAGTAAGAAGTATTTCCTCATATAAAAGGCCTTGCACAGGGCTAAGTTGCCAATGGAAGAGCATAGCTTAGAAACACTTATTCGAACTCTAAGTTGTCAGAGTAATCTAATGAGCAATATAGCATGAGATCACTAAGCCTAGAAGATATTAATGCACTCAGACCAAAGAGAAAAAGGGAAGAACAAGAATTTTGTTTACCATTTTTTAAAACGAAAAATGATGGGAGACATCAGGCATGATAGGGCACATGTATAATCCCAGTACTCAAAAGGCTGAGGCACGAGGATCACCCTCAGTTCAAGGCCAGCCTGACATACATAGTGAGACCTTATCTCAAAAAACCACTTCCAAAAACTGATGTGAAACAAAACAAATTTAACTGAGAATCACAGATTTCTTCACTAGTCATTCAGTAGTATAAAGAAGATGTATGCTCAACTAGAAATAAAGCCAATTGAAAGATGAGAAGAGTAATAGCAACAATTAAGGGAGAAAATATGCCATACTAGTAAATGAGTACAGAATGCTAAAGATCCCCAACAGCCATCAAGTGTCTAAGCATTATTTTCCTAGCAACAGAGATACAGTGCAATAAGAAGTGCAGGGAAATCAATGAAAAAGCAACTCAAAAGTGGGCTAGACATGAATGTCTCTAACTTCCTTAGGCCAGAAGCTTTTCAGAAAGAGTGATCAGTGATAAAACTAGAATAAACATATACTATAAATGCTATAATCATGTATTTTCCTATCTTCACTGCATATTTAACCTTTACACGTGTCATTAAAATGTTTCTGCGAAAATATTTATAAATAATCAGTAACCACGAATAACACAAAATTTAATAAAATAGGTGTGTGCTTAAAAAAAAGTCACTGTGACATTGAGGACAGCAATGTATAATACTAAAAATATATGTCATCTTGGTCGTCTAAAGGTGTACCATTTCTAATGTCATATCAATTATTACTATACTCTTTAAAGTAATTTTTTAAATAAAATAGTAAAGGAAAATGAGAGTCAAGAACAAAAATTTAAGATTTCTTTAAAGCATGTGGTAATGTTCAATCATATCTCCCATCTTGCATAACTATATCTGTTAATCTGAGTAACAGATTTGACAATAAAAATAGATAATATATCAATCACTGTTAATCAGCTATTCTTGTTTAAAAATCTGTAATGTATGTATTATTACATGTCACCCTGTTGCTGTCTTTGCTTTAGTTTTCTTGCTCTTTTTTTATTTCTTCAAAATAAAAAGAAAATTATAATCAAAAAGTCACTACGATCAAGGCAGCCAACTCCTTTGTTTTTAAAATCAAGAACTAAAGAACCAATCAAGATGATTTTGAAACATAAATTTCTGAAACCAGGTAGGTACAATCATATAACTTATAATCAGTTTTAGAGAATAGTTAACTAAACTTTACAGATGCATATTATATACTTCCTAGTTCCTTACCAGCTAATTTTCTCATTTTTTATTCCTCAATGTTCAGATAAATTTGTGTCTCCTGCACCAGCGAGATAGCTCAGCAGTCTGAAGTGCCTGCTTAGGCAAGCTTAGGCTAAGTGAAGGGACCATGTTTCGATCCCCAGCACCACATGCTGCACCAGCCCAGAGCCGGCCACCCCAAAAAGAAAAAAAAAATTGTGTCTCCTTTCAACAATATCTGTGTCTTTAAAAGGTAATTCTTCAGATAATATACTTAATAAAATATAGAGCCACAAGGTATGTGTATTAAAAAGTGCTCATTTAGATACAGATTATAACATAATTTTTCCAAAACTATCCACTATCAATAATAACAAATATTCATATTTAATTTGAGAAATAAGGCTTTTACTTCAGAAACATAACCTTTTGTGTTCCCAATAGTCAAAACTGAAATAATCAGCCCATTGTCTTAAAGAATCCAAAAACCTCAAAATGCATTATACATCCATAGCTGCATTTTAAATCCCGAATCATCACACATATAATGAAACTGACATTACTGCAATATATGAAAGCTTACAAAGTTAGTAATTCTTCACCAAAAAATTATCAAGGCATATGTATTTACTTTGTTCAAAAAGAAAAAAATGTTTTGGTTCATTAGCACAATAAATGTGTATATATAACTTACTGGTAACATTGTTTTTAGTCCAGAACGAAGAAATTCATTCCGCAAATGTATTCGAAAATCAAGTTCATATGGAGAAGTGACAAGGGCATTTATAAACTGCATGCAGGCTACCTGCAATAAGAAAGAAAATTTTGTTTAGGTAAAAAACCGAAATAAATTAAGGAATTTTTTTAATTAATACATTCCAAAAATGCATTCATTAATAGCATTAATACATATTATATAATAAAATAAGAAATGCAAATAATTTCTACATATACAATGATGATCATCTTTAGATAATAAACAACAAAATTAAAAAAGCTTCTGATGATCAAACTAATTCTAACAAAGAGGTGATGGATGCTCAAGTATGCACGCTTTGCTGAACAGTATATAAAAATGTAAAATCCAACTGAGAAACTCAAAGCTCAGAAAGGATGCATATAGAGCCTTTGAAATGATTATGAAATGTATCTTTCATATACAGTTGTCCTCAGAGTACCACTGGCCTCAATTCTGCATGGTTATAAGTAATTTTCTAAAATAAACCAAATAAAGTTATAAAGTACCCTAATATTTAACAAGGCACAGGGATAACTTGGAGAAATCATTACATTGATATATACTCTTTCAGTCCTCTTACTGCAATAAATTTGAACAAAATAGAGTATAAAATACATAATTAAATTAACTTGGTAGATGTGAAAAATTAATGCAAGTGAATGAATATTAACTAGAAGCCACTGTGACACCAATACTAATATGCACTACATAATAAAATATATATGAGGGCTTGTTTTCCAATGACATTTTTCATTAATTATAATGATACTGGATAATAAGTTGTGCTTTTCTTACATTCTGATTTTGTTTTTTATTTTATTTTATTTTATTTTATTTTTCAAAGTTTTATTGATAAACAGCAATGAGACAGTTTCAAATCCAATTGGAAGTACAGTTTCAACAAATAACACGCTGTATATATTCTTCTTAGTGGTTAATTGCTGTACACGAAGTGGACTTCTGAAGCCATTTACAAACACCATTAGAACAAATCATTCTATTCATTAAGAGAATGCAACTATATA